AAATTAGGCTACAATTTGGGAAATTGAGCTGCTAACAGATCAGATAGGATTTGGTAAAGGGTATGCCAGATCTGATCCGATAAGAAATCCATAGGAATCCGTCAATGATTCGAATTCAAATTTGAATATCTTATCGGATATTCAATTTGATTAGAATTGTAACAAAAGAAATTTATGATATAATATAAATATTTATTATATTATTTATATAGTATAATAATATAATAATATATAATATTTCATAACTAACATAAATCAGATTGGTTCATGATAGATCGGATCGGGGTATACATGAGTTGGATCTATTAACTAAACGGATTGACTTTCTTGATCTGATCCGATTTATTAGGATGAAGAGAAGTATCTGAATTCGACTCTAATCGATCAGGTTCTAATTCAAATCGGATTTGATCCGACTTATTTGCAGCCCTAAGTCTATTAGAAGATTAAAGAAATGATTACATTTGACTAGAATAACTGAATCCACAAACCAATCTCCACTAAACAACATGAATCAAACTGCAACTTTGCTGAGATGGTTATCATAGGAATAACTACAATAATATCAGTCAAATATCACAAATGGTAATAATCTTTCATGAGTGATTGAGGAAAGTCGAACTGTCAAATGTTAATGCATTATCCGTTGGCTAATTATGACCCAAACCAAGGTTTTAAAAACCAACATGGATACATAACCGTTCTAGCTACCGGTTTTTGGGTCATCAGTCCAATCGTTCGAGTTGAACGGTTCGGATGGTTTGCATATTAGGGAAAATGTTTATATGAGATTTGCCCTAATATGCAAACTTCATATAAAAAAGAAGAGATGTCGGCTGAGAAAGCTAGAAAGGAGAAAGGAGAACTGTTGTTGGTTGAGAAAGAAAAAAAAAAGGAAGGAAGAAGAAAGAAGAGGAGGAGGAGGATTCGATGCTCACCGGCGATGATAGCGGCGACGGCGATGGCGAGGCAATGGCAACGGATGCAGTTCTCGGATCTCAGATATGAGATTGATTTCTATAAAACACCTGTAGTCTTCTTCTTCTTCTTCTTCTCTTTGTGCTAGATCCCAGATCTGAGATCTAGATTTGAATTCGTGTCTCAAAATAGATATCAGATCTGAGTTCTCCTCTCTACAACTTTATATTGCAAATCGCTGGCAGGGTCAAACGAGTTGACGGTTCGACTGCCCGGGTCAAAGTTTTTCTGACGAAGTCAATGATTTTTGACCCAAGAACGGGTTAGGGATGAAATGGAATCGATTGGTTGGACGATTTTCAGACCGAATGGTCCGACCGTCTAGGTCAACGATGGTTCAAAAACATTGAGCCAAACCACCTAATCCATTAAATGCCTTTCATTGGGTTAATTAACCAACCTGCCAATGAAATAGGACTAAATGAATACAACCCAACCTATGGCCCCATGGGTTGGGCAAGTTAACTGATTGGGTTAAAAAGTTGCTAGACTATTATTTTTAAGAGTTTAGATCTGCACCCCACAACGTCCCAGAGCACATCCTCGCTGTGTATTGGGAACATCTCCTGATGATGATATCATCATTTCTGGTACTTGGGAGATGTTCCCAAATACACGGTGGGGATGGCTGTAGGATGTTGTGGGGCGCCCCCTTGTGGGGTGCAGATGGGAACTCTTATTTTATTAGACATCAAGCATTAAACTTGACAACATTTTTGTTTATTTGTCCGCAAAATTCCTTCACACATTTTATTCAACATCTATTATTAGTAACATACTCTTACTATACTAAAACTTTATAAGTAATAATACTAAAATGTTATTTTAACAATAACAATCATATTATTATTAAAATACTCATAGTAATTATTATTAATTATATAATTACTTTTATTATGATTTAACTATTTACTATTTCATTAATATTTTTATTATTTTATCATGATCATGATCATCACTATTATTATTTATGTATTTAATTATTTATTATTAAAATAATAATAGTGATATAAGATATAACTCATAAAGATATAAGATATAAGATAAAGCAAAAGAAATACCAAATTTCAAAGTACTTTTTTAGGGATTTTACTTATTTAATTTTTGACTTTTCAGACATCAGACTTGAGATGTAAAGAAGGACACATAAGTCGAATCTTATTTAAGTAGGAGCCATCTACACTAACCTTACTTATATTTTATGCTTTGTTTAGGGAAAGTAAAGAAAGAAGTCTAGAAAGTAGATAGATGTACACCAAAAGTCCTAGCATTCATAGGGAAAATGTTGGTAATGAGCCTCCATAAAATTTACTTAAAACCTGCATGCATAGAATTTATATGTTCATTAGACAAAACAGAAAAAAAAAAGGACATGTTTCCTCATAGCCAGATAACGCTACTTTCATACAAAATTTTCCTTTTAGCCCTTAAAAAAAGAAAATTGATTCTCTTGTCACGTCGGGGTATTACAAAAGAAAAAAAACTGCCAAATCCGATCCATTTCCATTTTATTGTAACCGATTAAATTAACATGTTGCTTAATCATGGAAATAAATCATTGGCTTATCAAATTATCTATCGAGCTATAAAAAAGATTCAACAAAAGACGAAAATTAAAATAAAATAAATCCACTCTATTTTACCTGAAGCAATATAGCAGCAAAGCAAGGCGTATAAGCTGATTGATTCATATTCCAACTTCAAGCATTTGAARCTGGCATCTGTAAAATGGATGTTAAGGCTCAGTTTGGAAGTAGTGCACAATACAAGACCTTGTGTTTTGTATTTCTCAACTAGTAGATATTTGTATTTACAYTCCTTCCAAACCGAGCCTATATCACTTCTCAAGTTCTCAACAAACAGAAAAAGGTTATTCGAAACTTTTTTTTTTTTTTTGTGCATTTTGTAAAATGAATGGATGCAGATTCCAGTTATATGGAAATGGTCACGCCAAAAATCAATCACGAACCGAAAATGTCAACTGATTTTGGAATCTAAGAGGGAGAGAAGTCATTAATTGCTAATTTATATAAAAATTTAATAGATAGAACATGGCTCGCAATCCAAAGCATTGAGCCTCTATAACTCAGTGGTAGAGCGTCAGTCTTGTAAACTGAAGGTCTGTAGTTCGATCCTGCATGGAAGCATTTTTTATCTTAGTGTTCACGTGGTGGATCTGTTCATGGCTGGGCTCATTAAAAAATAAAACCATGATGCCGGTGCCGGATAGACAAGATACCAATGAATTCTGGGTCATAGTCGGACTCTAATTTTTAGCTCTAGTAATAAAACACGGCCTAATAGCTCATTCAATCTCAACAAATTCTGGGTCAGGATGCGGCTGGGCCCGTCTTATTAAACCAGAAATATAATCATATAAGCCTAATTTCTGTTTTTTTTTTTTTTTGGTACATATCACATTAGTCCAATGTGATTCAACAGATCTCACTGAAGAACCAAATACCAACTTGTCTGAGCGAGCGGCCCACTTTTTCTCTAAGTTCTCCGTCCTGCTGATCCCCCATGCAATTTTAATCTGGGCCAACTTGTCTAGATAGTTCCTACCTGAACCAAATCAGCAGATCCTGAAGAGGCCCCGTTTTTAATAAAGAAGAGACTTCCTCCCAAATCCCAATCCCAATCCATGGGACTTTCCTATTCCTGGACTGTGCAATGAATCACTTCTTATGGAGAAGGATTTCAACCGTCTAAAATTGCTACATCAGCAAAAGATTGGAATACATTCTTGAATTATATATATATATATATATATATTTTGACAAGTACAATAAATGAGTCTAGATCTGCTCTTCACATACTTATATGTTATTATTCATGGGAGATATTTTCAATACACGGTGGATGGAATGTATCTGTGAGGAGCAAATCCCAATTCCAAATAAATTGGTTTGAGAGGTACAACCAATAATCAGTTTTCTGCAATTTTGTTTTAAGAACCAACTTATTTGCTACAACCCACATGGGTTTCAAGATCGTTTTAAAAATCGATCATTTCTCTGAGTTGTTTCAACTTTGCGGGCTCGTCTAGATTTTGGCCAATATCTAGGCCCAACCCTGAGAATGGCCCTCAGCCTTCAGTCTTTGGCTTGGCTGAATCCGAGGCAAAGCTCCATATAAATCCCAATATCCAACACAACATGATAAAGGATTATGCACGCCTCGGAATTGACTTGATTCAAAGATCATTTGCCCAGCTTTGCTTGGGTCCAGAAAGTACTTTTCAGCCCAAGTTCTTGAGAAACTTGAGATGATGTGTCTAGCGACTGGCTACTGGTATTAATTATTTTTCTGTGGACTACACATAAATCTGAAAAAAAGAACCGCTTTTCCCTCTCAAAATCCAAGAAATGAAGTGACCCATAATGTTTTTTTTTTTAAAAAAAAAAAGAGAATAGAATGGTCGTAGTGTTTGGTCTAGAGTTCAGTTTTGAAGAAGATGAACAATGTTTTGAAAAGGGGCAAGTTTGACATTAAAACAATATACTATTAGACCGTTTGTTTTATAAAATATAAACAAAGGGCCTGTTAATGTTATGTGAGACCAGCTTAGAAATATTTAAATAATTTTTCAAAATAGATGACATATTTAAATAAATGGTTTAACACAACATGGTTATAGATTTAAAAAAATTGATCTGATTTGTGTGTCTGAATATATATAAATTTTGTGAAGGGCTATACAGTGGTAGTCTATCCCCTAAATCCTTAACGTAGGTGCAGATGAGATTCGGTTTCAAATCTCCATTACAATCAATAGGAAACTTTATATATATAAAATATAAAGGTGCTGTCAATTTTATGATGGATATAACAGTAATGATAGTAGTTTGGAATTTGGAAATTTGAATAATTAATCTTATTGAATAATACTTGGCTCCAAGTCTCTCAACACTACACACACTTTTTTAGTTTAGTAGTACACAACAGACACGAGATACCAGTTGCAACTTGCAAGAAACTTATAACTTTGCATTCGAGATACATAAAGATGTTAAAAAATGTTAATAAAACCAAATATTTATTAGTGTGAGTTGAATATATTATTCAGATGAAGAATTCCACAGGAAATTCAGATAAAGCAGGATTAACGACAATGAGAAATGGAGAAGAGAGTGAATGCTGTAGTTTCAAAATGAGGAAGAAGAGGATAGAAAGATATTGTACCTTTCGGCTCTGAGAAACAAAGAAGAGGGTGGTTGTTGTAGCCTGTAGGTTCAAAATGAAGAAGACTGAAACTGCTGCGTTCGGTTCGAATGAGGAAGATTGAAACTGTTGCGTTCGTTTCAAATGAAGAAGACCGAAAGTTATCGTTGGTAGCTTTGAGGAAGAAGACATTGCTGGTTCGGTTCTTCGAGGAAGATGAAGACACTACTGGTTCAGTTCGAATGAGGAATGGGGTGAGCAAGAAGACGACGGAGACGCTACTGCATTCGGTTCGAATGAGGAAGAAGATTACAATTGGGATGAGGGGTATAATGGGATCGAAACTTAACTTTTCTGACGTGGCAGGGGAGGGGAGCTAAAATAAATTTTACATTTATTAGGTGGGGGTAGCATTGATTCGGATTTCCGTACGTCCTTAATTGAAGTTTTGACCTCTGAGGGGGAGCTGACCGAAGATTCCCAAAAAAAAAAAACCATTCTAATCAGTCCGCATGTATTGTACACTGCATTTGCCAGGCCTTCTTCCGCTTCTCATCATCAGATGGCTGCAAGAGAATTAGAAAGCTTATATAAGATATCATGCTTTTCAGTACTCTGAAACAAGACAATAGCTCCATATGCAAATCTATTTCTCTATTCAACCTCTGGGGTGATATAATGTGGGACTCCAACCCTCTTGGAACCATCTGCCAAGCGCTTGCATGGGAGGCGTTCTTCAGAAGAAACAAAATCATTACAGGCCTGCAAGGCAAACATATGGAAATGAATAAGAAACTCGTGACTCTGGAATTTTGTTTCATGCATTGCAAGATCAATGGACAAACTAACAGCAACAAGTCACGTCACAAATTAATTACATGACTCAAATTTCAGACAAAGACCTAAACTCCTTTTTCAACCTCGAACAAAAATGGATCAGATCCATTGTGATGAATTAGGTCACTTTATGTAAAACTGTGGTCACAATTTCAAAATCCCATGGCCAATCAATGGTCTCCCTCTTGAAGATGTCTGTTCTCTTTATTAGAATCAAGAAAAGAGCTTACCTGACTCTTAATAGCTTCAATCAAAACTTTTTCACATCTTGAAGCATAAACACTTTGCAGACGTGGACATTGAAGCAGCAACCTCTCTGAATAGAAAATAAAACCATGGGTTCTAATTCAGACATACAACTTTTAAAGATTGCATGAATCATATAAAAGAGACTCTTGATCATTCACCTGGATGCAAATTTGCACAAGAGTTTAGATTCAAATCATTAAGCTGAGGACAATTCAGATACAGAGCCTGCAGTTCATTACAACAATTTAATAATACGCATAGAGAGGGGTGGGGAAGAATTTTTTCTTTTCCTTAAGGCTGAGGCTCTTACATCCAAACCAGAACAACCCCACAAACTGAGTTTCTTCAATTTTGCATGCTTGATTATCACTTTTTGGTAAATATGAAGCAGCTTACTGTTGGGTGACTTCTGCAGGTACTTGGGTTCAGAACCACTGACATGATGGGACCTATTTTCAACAGATGTTTCACTATTCAAATTGGGCTCACATATGGTCATGCCACAGTCCATAAGCTCCAGAAGTGGCAACTGTGCAGTAGCAAATTGAATACCACCTGAAATGCATAGAAGAGGCAAATGGAAAGACCCTTAGAAATAACACTTGAATTACCACAAATCAGAGTACTTAAAAATATTAACAGCTTAGAGAGGATTACTTGAAGTGATATTAGGACAAAGTGCAATGAGCAGTCTTGATAGAGTTTCAGGGAAGACATTGCAGATCATGCCAATGCCACTGTCACTGATGCTGGACCTGAGATCAGAAGGCACAATATTGAGACTCTCTAACAGAAAAGATTAATTGAAAACTAAAAGAAGTTTTACACGTTAATGAACAATGATGCTACTGCAATTTCCAGGACATCATTGATCAATTAAGGAAAGTCAATTGGGACAGTTCTGTTTGATATGGAAAAGAATACCAAGATAAAACTTTCTTTGATGCCCATAACCCAGCCAAGGATTTATCCAATTGCAGAACTAGCATATCTAGTTAAGTTAGACAAGTTTAAGTGGCAGGAGACAAATTTGCAGGCAATTGGGTTCATGACATTCTTGGTCAATAATCATTACATTGATAAACTTGATGGAGACCTAGCATAGTCATACTTTTTTTGGTAAACAGTAGAGTTATACTCAGTCCATTGAGTTATCCAGTTTAAACTTGGCCCACTTTACACTGTAGAAGCTAGCAGAAACTGTTTTTAGCAATCAATATTGCAGCCACAATAGTTTTAAAGAAACCCCACCAAGCCATTTCAGTATTGGCAGGCAGAGTCCCTCCTAATAATTTACATTTGGGCAGCCCCCAGGATTTCTTAATAAATGGTCACAAAGAATCAAGAACAAATACAAGGTTCATGCTATTATGTTGTTAACAAAGTTTTGGTATGGCCTTGCAATCATAATTACTTAGTCTGTTGGTTCGAGCAGTTTCAAGTCTGTCATAGTTTGTGATTCATGATTTTGGAAAGAACCCACTTCACTAATTCCTAAATTAATTATATACTGTTAATGCATATTAAACAGTATTTTATCAAATTTTAAGTATTTGACTCCTCACTTCATAGGCAGTGGGAGATCACATAAGAATTTTTAGCACTCTGTTTTCGTGTTACTTGAAATTTGAAAGTCTCCTGTAAATCACCACATACATCGAATGCAGTTGAATTAACTTGCAGGCTGATTTATACTGAACCAGTTCACTAATCTCCAAAGAAACCTAGCAATTTAGTAACCATGGTTACAATAGCACACTTATAAAATTGACTTTTTAAATCTTCAAAATGTTTCAGCAACACTCGAATCAAAGCAAAATTAATGTTTTATGTATGCATGAGGTTAGCTCTTAACCCACAAGGTCCACATTAGTACCAAATGGCATTGGAGAAGTAATAAACACATACCCACTTAAATCAAGCAGTTCTAAATTTTCATAGGTTGAAGCAATCGCAGCAACAGATGCATCGGTGATTTCGGAACCAAGTACAAGTGAGAGCATGTGCAGACACCTGAAAATAGAAGCAAACCAAAAAACATTTGTAACACTTGTATTTTTTTTTTGATAATTCATTTGTAACACTTGTAATTATCACATCATTTTACTATAACAACACAAAATTCAATATGAGCTTAATAGAAATGGAGCAAATAGCTAAACAAGCAAAATTTAGACCATAGGTATTTTCTACAAAGTGTAAACAAAACATTAGTCCATTTCAACCACAGTAGCAAATGAATATATTGGAAAAACAAACATAGCACTTAACCAACCTCAAGTTTGCAGCAGTAAGAGCAAGCACAACAGCATGGGAGAGTCGAACTGATGAAATATGAATGTTTTGCAACCTAGGGCAACTCCTTCCCATACCATCTACCACAGCAGAAAGATCAGTACAGTCATTTTCTTGGCTGGAAAAATCCAAGGAAATCTCCTTCAAATTTGGGCAGTTAAATACCTAACAAAGCCAACATGAAGAGCAAGAGATTAATTAAATGCATCATCAGGGAGAATAAAGAAAACATATGGAGATGGTAATTATAATCCCACCACTAGGCATAAGAGAAAAGATAAAGAGAATCACCATCTTAGAGAGGGAATAGAGACCAGAAAGCCAAAGAGTTGATAGACTTGATGAACAGAGTCTGAAACCACCAAGGTTAAAGCAACCTTCCATCTTAAGGCTTGAAAGGCATCGTTTATCAGCAACAAACCGACTTAATTCATCCCTGCACTACATGTATGTTAATGTAACATAAAGAAAATTTGCAATGGACAGTTGGACACAAACTCTCTTCTCTGGATTCTCACAGACCATATCAATGGGATGGACCAGAACCAACAAAACACGAGGGTGTGGGAAATGCAACCAAGTCATATCAGTAGCAAAACACTACAATTAAAATTTCTAAACAGTAGGGAAATTTTACTCCTGTAGAAAGAAAATAGGAAACTAAAAATACAGAATCGAGTAGTCAGACAAACAACATTCAAAATCTACCAATTGGAAAACAGTAAATATTCCAAAGGCCCACTGAACAATTGGAAAAGGCAAGACTTTCTTTAAATCTACCAAAAAACAGGTTTCCTGAAACGTTTGAGAGAAGCAAACATAACATTTTCAGATGCTACTTAAAAAGAAATCATTTCTTTTAGTTCACACTTATAAAAAACAGTTCTCAATAGCATTTGAGCACACGATGCCACCATCTATAATGGAATTATTTCCAAAAGCTAAGAGAAAATGGAAATAAGGTCATTTCTTGAAAACTCAAAATCACTTCCGGCAAATCTTTAATTAAGAGTTCAGAAAGCTTCCAATTAAATGAAATTGTGGCCTAAAGCGCAAATGAAAACTAGAAAATGAAAATATATCAGTTTACTTAGCCTTTGGCCAGTGTTTTAATCCAAAAAAAAAAGCAAAACTAAATGCTAGCAACCATGATGAAAAAAAAGGAAGGAACAGACGCGGAGCATACCCAGATATCCGATTGGTAGCGGTATCAGATAAACTGATATCCATGGACTCCAGGTTTGGGCATGAAAATGCAATGCAGGCCAACATTGTAGCATCCACCTCACTGCAATACCCAGTAGAAAAAATAATTAATTAGATTAGCAAATATCCAACACTAACAAAATTCACTAATTCTATCATCTTTCTAGTTTGCTTTCCATTTTGCCTCTAATTTGGTTGCTAAACCGAATAGAGTAAATCAAAAACCCAACTCCTTAAACAAATACAAGATAGATAATAGCATTAACCAAAATCCATTCTGTTCATATGCTTTCCTAGCTTCCCTTATCCATCCCTTTTTCAGTTTTTCTCTGTTAGTTGGCAAATAGAATTAAATTGATGAAGATAACTACACACCAAAATATTACCAAGGATTCACGGTGTAAGAATCTCCAAAATTACAGAAAATTAAAAAAAAAAAAAACTAAGAAAGAAAATCCTACTTGTAATTGTGTCATTAAAGCCATATATAATGTAATTACCGTTTTCCAGATCCTATTTCTACCAATCTCACCATATTTTTAATAAAAAAGTAGATCCGCAAAAGCATATCAATAAACCCAAGAAAAACCTAACCTTTGCATCCGCAGAGAGAGTCTGACAAGCCCCGAACACTTCTGCAACACGGATCCAACAAACCCAACTTGAGCCTTGGCCGGAACCCTGAGTCTGAGCTCCTCGGCGGCCCTCCAGAGCTTCCTAGCACAGTCCCTCCACCCCTTACAAACCTTCGCCGCCGACAACAACGCTGGCGGCGGCAACCTCCGCAATACCTCCCACAAGCATTTCGCCGGCAATCGAGCTCCACCATAGTCGTTCCCTATCTCAGGCGATCCACCGGTTTCATCCTCGTCCTCTGACACGAGAGATTCATCCACCTCGTAGTTGTCAAAAGAGAGAGCGCGGCGGAGGTGAGAGTGTGACTGTCGTGGCGGTGGAAGAGGAGGGGTGGGAAAAGTGGGGGATAGAGCGATGACTGAGGAAGAATCGGTGATTGGCGTCGTAGAGTTAACATTGACGTTGCAGGAGTGACCCTTCTTTGGGAGACCACAGCGCCCACAGTTGTAGTTCCCGCGCTTTTTTATGCGCTTTACATTAGCGACTTCCGTTGTTGTGGCGCAGTCGGGAGTGGTGGCATCAGAAGGCGGCCGGTAGTTGCGCTGCATTTTTTTTTCTTTTTATTTTTCAGTGGAAGAGAGAGGTGAAAGCGAGACAGAACCATGAGAGCGAGGAAATAAGGTCGGAAATACGCGGGCAATCGGAGCAATTTTCGCGCCTTTAATTTTAAAGGGAGAGTGGGGGGTGGGGAAAGCCTTTATGTGCTTAAAGGCCAGGAGTTGCCCGATGGGATGGCTCCACTAAAGTTAGTAGTACTGGATCATGACTTTAAGTCCAATGGCCGGGGCATTCTTCTGGTTCAGACCGGTCTATGGGAGGCGTCGCTTATCTGCTAAAGGGGGACAACCATAATGGAAGGCGACCATGCGTCGATGAGGTGACTTGGCACCGATGTGAAGGGTCTCCTATATGCCGATGATGACAGACACCTGTGTGCCATGATGATAGGCAATCGCTTGGGCCGGAACACACCCGTGTGCTAAGGGCAACGGGATAGCTCAATCAGCTTGGGCAAGGGGCTGGCGAAGTGAAAGACATGCTTGAGCCAGGCCCGCATGCCAAGTCTCCCTTGAGTATCGGTAGCGCAGTGCCGGTCCAWCACTGTCCCCATGAGCAAGTGTGCGCCCATGAGGAACCTTGGTAGCCATGCTAGCCGTTAACCAGGGCCGCCCCGCAAGGGGATGAAGGTCTAGGAGTGCCAAGGTTAGGCACCCAAGGAGGTCGACCACCCCTCCTCAAAGAGTACGTTAAGCTT